AACAAACATTTTTTTTGTTGCTCTAATCATCACTCACTACTCACTATGTTCTCAATGTAGGAATTAAAGGTCTGCCTACAGTCTGTTTTTCATGAGTTCTGTTTGTTTGTTGTTTAACGTCCCTCTCGAAAATTTTTCACTCATATGAAGACGCCACCACTTGCCGGTGAAGGGCTGCAAATTTTTACCTGTACTCGGCAATGAGGTCCATTGAGCAGAGAGGAATCTTTTTCGTGCCAGCACCTATGTTTTTTACTATCTCAGCATGACATCTGTATGCCTCGGTTTGGCTTTTTAGTCAACTTGGCCTTCCTGAAGTTCTCTCGGCGGGATAACCGTCTGATTGATCTGTTGCACCAGGCCTATAAGTTGAGATGTCATTGTTGGCACATGCTTCTGAAGAGCGTTCAGTCACTTTATCTTGAAAGATAACCAGAGTTCGTCAGCCCTTGAGTAAGTGCTGTGGTTGGTTGTGAACTCGGAGGAAAAATGGTGGAGATCTTCTCTCATGACATCAAGGTTTGCCTGTTTCCACAAGTGCATGAGTCGTTGCGCTGGTTTTTGTCCAGATGGAACAATGTTTTTATCAACAATACGGCATCGTGATCATTTAGGCATGGGATTTTGACATACCTGTTTACAAGAGTGGGGCGGTTAGTGATAAAATGTCCGGCATGTTCTCCTTGCGGGTTGGTGACTTTACAAATCTGTTCGCTACAAATGTCGTGGATGGTGTCAATGGAGGCTGAATACCAAATTTGTGCATAATTCTTTTCAAGTGTTCTGATATGTCCTTTAAAGAATTGTATTGTTCAGCAGGCTATTTCAAGCAACTATTGTTTTTTTCATGTTATATACCATGAATTGGTCATTTTATCATAATGACCCCCCCCTCCCCGTCTTATAGATAGAAACACACACCCACACCCACACCCTTACGCACACTCACACACACCCTCTCACACACACCCTCACACACACATATACATGTATATAAATATATATATATATATATATATATATAAACCTCCTTACAGAGTAGTCCGCCGCTTCATGTAAACGAGTAAAGGATGACTGCACTTAACGCCTGTTTTTTGGGTCTTTTTCGGTTGCTTCTGTTGTTTTTATATCTAAACTTTATTTCACTTTTGTATGTTTATGAAAGAATCCTGTCAATTTGGAACCAAATTTAAATCTTAAAATGATTTTAGACTGTGATACAATAAAATGATTCAATGTTTTTTGTCCTTAGTGCTTTCAAAATATAGTGAATTTACACTTACCTGCCCTTGAATGAACATCAGATATGCATGAGAGGTGGAGCTAACATTGTAAATATGGGTCTAAAATTAGACTTGATAAATAACAATGACATGTTTGAAAAAAAGAACGTGGTCACTCTTTCCAATCTCACTCTCCATTCTGTATGGCACAAATACACTTCTGACAAAGGTTTCAAAACGAAGCTAACAATATGAGCACGTCAATGTAATTAAAGCAGATTGTATATCCATGCCAGATGACGTAACGTATTCGATCACAATGTCCTAGTTAGCACAAAACATGCTACCTTACAAGTCACGTGACGGAATTTAGTATTCACAGAGTTACCTGAGGTAGGACATCACGTGGTGAATTATAATATTCAACATGTCACAATCCTTGTTTACAACACAGAGAGCGAATGTAAGAAGAAGCAGTTTTTTCTCTTTTTAACCATGAGCGCATGTTTGTCTATTAATCTCCTTTTGACACATTATTATTTATGCAAATATACAACTATTGTGAAACGGAGAACAATAGACAAACATGCGCTGACTATGTATTAAGTCAGTAAAAAAGTGGGGTCCTCATTATCGTAAGGAGATTCAAGAAATTGTGATGACCCCTGCCTTTGAAAACAGATTCGAACTTCGTAAATACACACTTTTATTAAACGTAATTACATAAAGTTGTAGATTGGATGTTGGCCATTCTTGCAATGAAAAGTAAAATGCTTGTTTTGAAAGTTTATTTTGTCGCAGATTTCGCATATCCTTAAGTGCAGTCATCCTTTGCCAGACGCTTCGGATGGAATCAAATTTGAACAGTTTACTTTGATGAAAACAACTAGCCTTTTTAAATTATTGATGTTTAAATATCCTTATAAAAGTTAACTTCCAGGTTAAAGTTAAACTTCAGTATCTTATGTTTTTTTTTGTTTTTGTTTGTTTGTTTGTGTATAATGTTTTATAATAGGGTGTTGTGATTCTGTGTCTTGACAACAAAGATTATCAATGAGAATTCGGGATGGGCGAAAGCGCACAGTTAGTTTTAGCATTGATTAATTTCCTTTCTCAATGAAAAAGTTTTAAAATATTGATTTTTGTTGTTGTTAGATAGCTTCCAAGAAACCATTTCGTTTCAAACAACACTCATTCAAGGTTACTTATCCTCCCAAGATACGTCTACCACACGAATATTGTCAATGACGGGTGTTGTTAAAACTAAGTTCACCGTAAGAAAGTCTAAAATTGTTCCCAAACACACTAATTATTGAAAGGAAAATCTTTGAAACCGTTAAGTAGTTTCAAAATACCCCTTCAAGGGCCGTAATAAATTTTATGTAAAATGTCAAAATTTTTTTTTTTAGAATTTAGAATTTTTTTTTATAATAGATTTTGAGGAAATGATTCCCTAGCGAAAGTGCCATCTAAAAGGTATTATATTAATATATATTTATTATTTTTATTTAAAATTGAAGCACACTGGCATTAAAAATGGCTGTACATGTATGCAATTTTACACATTATTTACACAATCAAAAACCCAAATCTTTATATGATTTTTAATTTGTTTAATTAATACAAAGTAACTTTGTCATCTAAACAATTCAATACACATGTAATTGAATTATTTAGATGACAAATTGCTCTGTCGTGCATGCTTACTTTGCATATCGAATCTCTTCATGATCAGTTGACGACCATAAAATCGGGATTGTCTCTGCAGTAGTCTAGAGTATGCCATATTCAAATTAATCATAAATTGTTTTTGTTTATATAAAGACCAAACATTGTTGCAGTATTTTCGGTTCATATGTGCATTCAATGCAATTATTTACAATTCGAAAATTTCGCAAACCTCGAAGTATAATATCTACCTTGCCCTTCGAGCTTGGTGAATATTATACTCCTCGGGAAGCTAATTCATCGTATTGATCTGCCTGGGGGGGGGGGGGGTTGTAATTTAAGACATTATTTAGATTTAAAATCTTACTGCAGCATACTACAAGAATATATTTTTCCAAGAAACAAACTGTCCCATCTCTCTTTATTATATTTACATGCTGAAAATAGAAACGTGTAAAATGCAAAATATTTTGTCTTTTTTCCATATGAAATTATTTCTAAAGGTTCCATCCTTGACGAAAGGCAAAATCACGTTCTGGATGGAGACCCTCTACAAGCTACAAGTTCTCCCTGAGGCAGGATTAGTACATTTACATATACACAGCTAAACTACTCTCTTATTTTAATACTAATATAAGATTAAATGTTCGATAATTTTGTATTTCAGATTGACGCAGATTTGATTTTGTTGATGAGTGAAGAAGAACTCTCAAGATACATAACGAGGCACGGTGACAGACTCAGACTGAAAAACTTTTTGACAAGATTCCACCAAGAAAAGAAACAAGATAATAAAATTAAAAGAAAAGAGATACTCGCTGCCTTAAGAAAAAAGATAGAAGACCGCAGAAGAAGTAGGAAGGCGGAAGCAGCTTCTTCTAGCGAAATAGCGCTGGAAGATAAAAAGCCGAGGCAGTCGAGCAGCAGAAATGTCCAAAAGAACGAGTTAAGAGGGCTACACACAGAGGTACATATGCGCATAAAAAGAGGCGGGGGGAACCGTAAAATAAGCATTAGGAAAGATGCAACAAAAACAGATTTGTTGGAGGAAGGAAAAAGACTATTGTGTTCTTTAGGTAAGTTGCCTACAGGTTTCAAAAGTGAGGGGGTGGAGGCAACTTCCCCATAAAAAAAATGACAGCAAAACAAAAAAAAAATACCTGTCAAAATCCTGGAATTTGCTAGTGCTCGACCTTACAGCAATAAAGGGGGGGGGGGGGGGACAACATGTAAAGGAAAATTTACATTAGCAAAATACTATAATAAAAAAATGGGGTCCTGTCTCCCCCCTCCCCCGCGTTCTACGAGCCTGGTCTAAAGGACCAATCACTGATTTTACGTTACATTAGGGACTTTAGTAACAGGAGCGTACCTCATAGCACAACTGTGCTTAAGCTATTTTATTTTCCAACAACAGATGGAAAAGATGGTCATAATACAAACTGGAAAACCATTAAAGATCCAGTCAAAAATCCGGACGAAACAAAAAACGCTGAAACTGATGAGCTTCCTCAAAATAACATATGTCACAGAGAAGAATTAACGTCTGACTCAGAATCTGACCAAGACGACATTCTTCAAAGGGCCATCACTCTTGCAGGTATCCTAGATGAAATAAATGATCAAAATTGAAACAAGTACAAGTGCAACAACAGACGACATGAATGAACAAGTATTCAACCTCCTGCCAAACATCACAAATAACGTTACAAATGCCACTGTACATAGGGGACATATATCCTAAAGGAAATGATTTATTTATTCAACTGACGTCTTAATTAATGATGTTATTGATATCAGGATAGTATTGCCAAATGAAGAGCTTCATCTAAAGAGGACGGAGGTGGGAATAACAGAGACATTGGAACTTCTATTTCTTTTTCTTTTTCGAAGAAATTCTGTCCAGACTGAAATGAAGACACATTTCAAAGCACTCTACTACATGTACCCAGTAAACTCAAAATATTTGTTTCACAAATAAAAATTTTATTACATGAAAAAAGAAAATATAAAGAGAATCTATAATCTAACAAAATCAAAATGAGATTTTTTTCAGAAACCAGAAATGCATTATAAATAAACTATATAGTATTTATTGAGCTTGCATAACAACAGATCTATATACTTATCAACTATGTACTATCAAACATTATTCCAACTGCATAATAAGAAAAAAAAATGTAATATATTGTAGATATAACTAAATATTGTATAGTAACAATTCTCTTTGTCACAATGGGATAAAAATATCACGAAAAATTACATTCTACCATTACAATTTTCTGTTTCAAAATTTTGACTCAAACTACCTTTTAAGGGTGAATAATAAAGAGATTCCTATGCAAGTGAGGCAGGTATCTAGACTGTTCTGCCAAAAACCAAGTTTAAATTACTCAGTATTTCAGAAGTGAAGTTCAATATTTCTGTTTACAAAACATGCTTTTTTTTAACTTTAACCTCTTATATCACTAATCAATATAAAACCACACATAAAATCAATTAAATATCTGCAGATATTAATTATCAAAACATTTTAAGTACATGTACATGTACACTCACATGTATCACAGTAAATTTTCTTGAAATGTTCAAAATTCAAAAGCTGTTATTTTGTTTAACATGGAACTAAGGAGACTAAACTTGTATCTGTAAATCTCTAACTATTCATAATGCACATCTCATATAAAGTGTGCAGGCAAACATTGCAGAAAAATATCATATTAAAAAAAATTTAAAAGCAAGTAAGTCTGAAATTTTTGAAGTAACCTTAAAGATGAAGAATTAAAATGTGATTTGTAACTCATGATCACAATCATACAATCCCACAATTATTTGAAAATTCAGATTAATGTCTACAGACTTATAGATTTAAATAAAAATTATGGAATGTTCGACAGATATTGTTAAAGTAATATAATGCCCCAACTACCTAAGGACGGCCCTAAGGAAGAAATAAGTACTGTACACAGGGTTATTTTCACCCCGTTTTATTTTTGTCCTTTCACACTTGCAAACAATTTTGTCCAGTTTAAAATTATCCAAGACACAGCTATATTAAGGAAATAATGCTGTCCTCTTTGAATTCACCTGTTTTTAAGGAATTCCCCTGCAATGAGGGAGAAAAGGGCAAAAATTAAAAAGGGGGCAAAATTTCCCAGTATACAGTAAATGATTTGCTGATGTCCAATATTGCACAATCCTAATCTCTTGGCACTGTGAACAAAAAAATTTAACATCTACATGTAGATAAGTTTCAAACAATAAACAATGTACATCACTGACCCTAGCACATTAGACAGTGCTAATGTGGCCAGCTACACTTGTAAGGTTTAGAAGGAGGTGCCTTGTAACATTTATTCTTTCCTTTGGCACATCCAGCAGGAGCCCAGTTCTGTAAAATTAAAAAAAAAATAACTGTATATTTTTTTTCTAATCACATACATCTATAATGTTCTTAAGAGCTCTTTCCTTTTCCTTTGAGAATAAAAAAAAATTATTGGTACTTGCTTCATAAAAGTACTTTTTCTCAATGTGCACAAGAATTCTGTTTACCTTTGAAAGTAAACATTTTTCTTTTTATGAAAAGTTACTTGGCAAAAATTAATAATATACATGTATATGAATGCTTAGATGGAAGTTAATTTGGTTTTGAAGGTTACAACTTCTATTTATGTCAAACATGACTGTTATATGAATAATTTGAATCAAAAGTCTCTGATGAGAATGTAGATCTACTAGTCTGTACTTATAAAAATGGAAGAGAAAATTTGCACCTTGATATATTGTGGAAATCTACAATGACAGCCTTGTCATACATTGTTGTGGGGTGGTAACCTACCATGACAGCCTGGTCACACATATTGATGGTTGTGGGGTGGTAACCTACCATAACAGCCTGGTCACACATATTAAGTTGTGGGGTGGTAACCTACATGTACAATGACAGCCTGGTCACATTGTTATGGAGTGGTAACCTACCATGACTGCCTGGTCACACATATTAAGTTGTGGGGTGGTAACCTATCATGACAGCCTGGTCACACATATTAAGCTGTGGGGTGGTAACCTACATGTACAATGACAGCCTGGTCATATTGTTGTGGGGTGGTAACCTACCATGACAGGCTGGTCACACATATAAAAATGTGGGTTGGTAACCTACCATGACAGGCTGGTCACACATATTAAGTTGTGGGGTGGTAGCCTACCATGACAGCCTGGTCACACGTATAAAGTTGTGGGTGGTAACCTACCATGACAGCCTGGTACACATATTTAGTTGTGGGGTGGTTACCTACATGTACAATGACAGCCTGGTCACATTGTTGTGGGGTGGTAACTTACCATGACAGCCTGGTCACACACATTAAGTTGTGGGGTGGTAACCTACCATGACAGCCTGGTCACACATATTAAGCTGTGGGGTGGTAACCTACATGTACAATGACAGCCTTGTCACATTGTTGTGGGGTGGTAACCTACCAGACAGCCTGGTCACACATAATAAGATGTGGTGTGGTAACCTACCATGACAGCCTGATCACACATATTAAGATGTGGGGTGGTAACCTACCATGACAGGCTGGTCACACACATTAAGTTGTGGGGTGGTAATCTACCATTAAAGCCTGGTCACACATACTAAGTTGTGGGGTGGTAACCGACATGTACAATGACAGTCTGGTCACATTTTTGTGGGGTGGTAACCTACCATGACAGCCTGGTCACACATATTAAGTTGTGAGGTGGTAACCTACCATGACAGCCTGGTCACACATATTAAGCTGTGGGGTGGCAGGTACCAGCTTTGTCATATGCTCCTGTATTTTCTTCATTAACATAGGCATTGCCTTTTTGTATTCAGGGTTAGTGGCACTACAATTTTTGAAAAAAAAAGGAATTTATTGTTAGAGAAAATATACATTTGTATAATTGAGGATTTGTTTTTATATAGCAAATTTCTTGTTTAGGTACACTATACTTGTGTTAATCCCTTTCATGAACTTTGATTATTCAAGAATCCTGTATCTTCTAATTGCTACTGATATTTACAGAAAATTGAAAGAAAACTTCAGAGAAATTTATGTTTGTCTGTTTTTAATTACCTAATTTAAAAGTAGCACATGTGCTAGAATTCTGCAAACCTGATCGGATATCTTTCTCCTGGATCCCTTCCAATGTGAAACAAAAGAGGCTGAGAGGTATGGTCTGTTTGGTTATGTGTGGTCACACCCTTAATTTCTTGTCCTGGGCAAAAATTTATACCCTGTCAAAAAAGTAATAATATATCTATAATTCACAGGTCAGTAACTTGACATTCTTTGTTAGCCTTACATGTGTAGGTCAAGCCATGAATTCTGAGTGTTTTATTTTGGAAGTCTGAGAACTTAATTCTTCATGCTGTATTATAAAATTTCTAGAGTTAATTGTCTTTTAAGAAGTTGTGTGAATAATCTCCACATAAACATTATCATATTCAAGTATTACTTCTTATACAGGAAACATGAAGATCTCAATCATCTCACTAGTTTTGTAATTGGGTGTATGATCTTAAACAGGACTAAGATGTAAACTACTGTAACCTTCTATAATAATAGTGATGACCTATTTTCTGTAATTTTCCTTTTTATCTATATATTTTACTTACCTTGTTAAATTCTTCTACTGAATTAGTCCAGGTCCACAAATGAGCTTTATAACTACCCATCCTTACTGCCATTAATTGATTTCCACGGTAGTAAAACAATGGTCTATAAAAATAAACTGTAGCATTATAATATGTATAAAATACAAGAGGCCCATGGGCCATAATACTCGCATGAATCACGATTCTCTTCCTGACAAATGCTTATTGTCATCACGAAATTAAGTCCATGATGTCAACAATTTAATTCATAAATATACATTATATCAATTGAAGCTTGATGTCAATTTTACAAAATGTACCCTTCATTTTCCATGCATCAATATTTTTATAAAATGTTGGTCCTGAATTATGGTCCTTCCTTAGTCCCTGAGGCCATGCTTTAAACAAAATTGAATCCACACTACATTTAGATGTTTTCATATAGATATAAATAAATGTGACCCTGTTCTCCTGAGGTGATTTACAAACTTTAAAGAATTTTCCTACATATGTACATATTCTTATGTAGAACTCTGGCTCTCTATTGCCATCTCACCTTAGCATCTAGGGGTCATGATTTGAACAAGCTTGAATCAATACTAATTAATGTCAAGATGCTTCACTGTTTATGCTATATTCTTTTCAAGAAGCTTTTCATAGTTTTCTCCCTATACATTCCAATGTCAACACCCATTATTACCTCTGTACTTCTGTGTGATTAAGCAATGAAGTGCGAAGACTGATTCCGTCAATGACACGGTCCTTTGGTTTATCAACACCTGCGAAATCTGCGAAGGTGGAGTACAAATCCATTAAAGAGCCTACCTGAGCTGAAACCTGTTCACAGAAAAGAATTCAAATATTACTATTAAATACAATACACACTGGCCTTTGAGTGAACAAAATTACTGACAGCAGTACAAAATACACCCACCATAAGCCCCACACAGATGTTTACAGGTATGTGTAAATTTTAAATGATATTAAAATTTTTGAGACCATCACTCCCATCACACACAAAATTCTAGGTTATTTTAAAAAAGTATGAAATTGAGAAGCCTAAACAAGTGTGCAAGTACTTAAAAAAACCTTCAAAATGAACAAGCTTAAAACAAGAGGCCCATGGGCCACATCGCTCACCTGAGCACATTGGCTAGGAAAAAAAGCAAAAATCAGTACAGTATTGAAAAGTTAACAGGGAGGGGGGTGTTGAATTTTAAACTACCTAATGATGCTTTCATATCAATATAACAAATGGCTTTGTTGTTCTTGAGCAGCAGATTTTTTTCCCATATATTCATTTGTAAAAATTTGATCCCCCATTGTGGCCCCACCCTACCCCCGGGGGCCCTCATTTGAACAAATTTCATTCTACACTACCCAAAGATGCCTCCATATCAATTTGACTAATCATGGCTTTTCTGTTCTTGAGAAAAAGACTTTTTCCTATATATTCCTCTGTAAACTTTGATCACCCATTGTGGACCCAACCTATCCCCGTGGTAATGATTTGAACAAACTTGAATCTTCACTATCTGAAATTATGACCAATCATGGCTTTACTGTTCTTAAGAAGAAGATTTTTAACGATATTTTCCTATATATTTCTATGTAAAACTTTGATCCCCAATTGTGGCCCCACCCTACCCTCGGGGGTTATTATTTGAACAAATTTCAATCTTCACTACCTGAGGATGCTTCCATATAAATATGACCAATATTGGCTTTACTGTTTTTAAGAAGAAGATTTTTAACGATATTTTCCTATATATTTCTATGTAAAACTTTGATCCCTCATTGTGGCCCCACCCTACCCCCAGGGGTTATTATTTGAACAAATTTGAATCTTCACTACCTGAGGATGCTTCCATATAAATATGAGCAATCATGCCTTTACTGTTCTTAAGAAGAAGATTTTTAGAGATATTTTCCTATATATTTCTATGTAAAACTTGGATCCCCCATTGTGGCCCCACCCTACCCCCGGGGGTCATGATTTGAACAAACTTGAATCTACACTACCTGAGGATGCTTCCATATAAATATGACCAATCATGGCTTTGCTGTTCTTAAGAAGAAGATTTTAAAAGATATTTTCCTATATATTTCTATGTAAAACTTGGATCCCCCATTGTGGCCCCACCCTACCCCCAGGGGTCATGATTTGAACAAACTTGAATCTACACTACCTGAGGATGCTTCCATATAAATATGACCAATCTTGGCTTTACTGTTCTTAAGAAGAAGATTTTTAAAGATATTTTCCTATATATCTCTATGTAAAACTTTGATCCCCCATTGTGGCCCCACCCTACCCCCTGGGGTCATGATTTGAACAAACTTGAATCTACACTACCTGAGGATGCTTCCATATAAATATGACCAATCTTGGCTTTACTGTTCTTAAGAACAAGATTTTTAAAGATATTTTCCTATATATATCTATGTAAAACTTGGATCCCCCATTGTGGCCCCACCCTACCCCCAGGGGTCATGATTTGAACAAATTTGAATCTACACTACCTGAGGATGTTTCCACATAAGTTTCATCTTTCCTGGGCCAGTGGTTCTTGAGAAGAAGATTTTTAGATGATGCCATTTTTTTTAACTAATTCCTAATTATCTCCCCTTGAAAGAGGGTGTGGCCCTTCATTTGAACAAACTTGAATCCCCTTTACCTAAGGATGCTTTGTGGCAAGTTTGGTTGAATTTGGCCCAGTGGTTCTTGAGAAGAAGATGAAAATGTGAAAAGTTTACAACAACAATATCAACGACAACGACGACAAACAACGGACAAATTTTGATCAGAAAAGCTCACTTGAGCCTTTGGCTCAGGTGAGCTAAAAAAAATCAAGAGAACTTTAAATTTTAAATTGTTCACAATTCATAAGCAGGCATTGGTATGCAGTCTCAATCATACAATGTCATGATTCTTTTAGCTGGTGATGATGTTTATAAAATACTTTATGGAGGTCAATTTGAAATTTATACTCAAACGTTAACTTAATTGTTTGCACATACTACCTGCAGCATGTTGAAACCCTAATGCCTAAAAATTGCCTCTACATGTAACTACATGAATACAAGAAAGGGATTTATGCTTATCAATTAATAGAATGTAAAATTTTATGACTAATGATTTAATCTTTGCAGTTTAGCAGACAAATGTGTCATTTACCAAAATGCCTGTTACTGCATAAATATTCTATGCACATGAATCATTTTAAAATGGAATCAAAGTTTTGAATTACATTACTGTACAGTAAATGCAGCTAAAATCACTTCTTAGATCCTTAGATCAATTTGATATTTCATAAAGTTTGAACTTTTTACAGACAAAATAAGACAGCAATGGTTTGAGCACTGTTAGCTGGTTACTGTTCATTAAACATGTTTAAATGCCATACCTGACCCTGTTTAATGTGCCCTGGCCACCATGCAATAGTGGGTTCTCTCATACCTCCCTCATAGGTTGTTTCCTTGCCACACAGGAATGGACCATTGCTGCCCCCTACATAACAACTAAATGTAAATTAACATGAATTGCATAGTATTAGACTGTAGAATTTACAGAAATACTGATAGGAGATCAGAAGTGTATTCACATAAGATTTAAGACATATATCATTATATATTTTATAGTACATGTATTATAGAACTTGATTTTAAAACTTTACTCTTACAATATTATTATTTAAAATATCAAGAGATATTTAAAAACACAAATTGATTCTCCATACAAAAGCCATGAGTTTGAAAGTATCTTTCAAAAGTGAATATGTAAATGTACTTGCAGTACATAACCACAGTACCAATAGTCAGGTAGGTAACAATTAATTAAGTCTGTTTTTTTCTCACCAAGATTGAAGAATGTAAAACAAACAGAGGGATTCTTGTGGCTCTTGATGACCGGAAGCATTCCATTTTTAACATTTTTTTTTCTTTTGACCTTTTTTTTCTTTTAAATAAAAGTGTAAAATTACCATGTTCCTTGGCATATGTAGCACCACCATTGTCAGAGGAGAAAAATACAAGAGTATTGTTGTCTATCTTTAGCTTCTTCAATGTGGTGAGAATTTTTCCCACAGCAAAATCCAGTTCTCTTACAACATCCCCATACCTATCGGTATACAGTAAATTCTATAATACATTCACTTTGAACAATGTATTTGTATACAGAGTTACAATGTATGTGTAAATTTTTATTATCAACAGACTTTTGCATTTTTTAAAATACAATGTTACAGTAAAATAACATCACAAATCCTATAAAATCTTCTCTTTTACACTAAAAATTATTACATATTTTTGTCCAACGAACTAAAATCAAACTTCCTTGACAGCTTCAATGATTCACTTGATATAATTTCTCATATAATACACTAATTAATGATGTTTGATAAATGACAACATATGTAAATCTCCGTCATTAATGCATAGTAAAGTGCTTCGGTTTTATGAAGCATTGAAGATCCTATTGACTGGTACTCACAACCCTCGTTTACTGGTTCCCAGGAAAGACCTGGAAGCATACAATGGCTCATGGGTAGCATCCACAGCCCAGTACAAGAAAAATGGCTTGGATTTATTGTGCATCCTGGTAATAAATTCTATTGCCTCCTATAAAAAAACCAAATCATGATTGAATGAATATATACACAAACACCTCCATGCATGATACCAAAATATCATTTAACTCAACATTACAATAAAATGATCGAAAGATAGATCAGTAAGAATGAATTTCAAACTCTGAAACCTGCATATAAAGCTGTGTTAAATTGGATTCCCCATTCTTTTCAATTTTATAATCCTGATAATACCTGAAAAATATTAACATTATCAGATCTGACATCAGATGATTTACATCTAAGGAGAAAATACATATGATTACAAAGCATATATATGGAATGAAATCCTCTCAATTTTTCTCTCTCTCATCATGCCCATGGTTACAGATCAATATTTTAAAGTAAAGAATATTTCATAACCAAGTATTAAACAGACACAGCATTAAAATTTGTTTATTCTCAGTTCTACGTCTGATAGAATAAATATTGTTTCCATTTTTTTTAAATGATCATTTGATTTCACCAACCTCCCCATCATTTCTGAGTCCCTATACACTGGAATGTTAGGCGTGTGAATGTTGTCATATGGACCAAAATGGCAGTTTGGTGCTCCAAACCATTCATCAAATCCATGCTGTAGAGGTAGGTATTGTTTCTGTTGGCCCAAGTGCCTGAAATTGTTTAAAAAAGCAAAGCCACTCAAGAAATTAAAATTGCAGTTATATCTGTCTATAACCTCAACAGCAGTATACAGTTCCAGAGGGCTTTAACTGATGCTAAGCACCTACCATTTTCCTACTAGCATATTCTGATATCCTGCTTTATGAAGAAGTTCTGGTAGTAAGATTTCTTCATCTGGTATTCCTCCCACTATGTTCTGTGGGGTGTATGCTGTTGCAGAAAAAACCAAGAATGGTTGATAAACTCACTATACATACAATATTAAAGTATACATTCTTTGAAACATTTCAATAATAGTCTTGCTGTAGCAAAAAAGGAAATAAAAACATCAACAATTAAATTTTGATAAATTTTTAAAGTAATAATGTACCATTCCTTGCATGGTCATTTGTAGTATAAAATCCATTCCTTATTGGCAAGCGTCCTGTCAAAAGAGCAGCCCTGGCTAAAAGAAAGTGGGAAAAAGGATTTACAATATAAATATACTGTAACTGTAGAGATTTATTCAAGTCAAATACCAATAAAAATGGTCTTGAAATAATAACATAAATCATTTCTACAATGAGTAAAGTAGATAAAAATCAACAAATAATTTTGTCTTCTCATTTAATTAAAAGAACAAAAACTATGGTAATCCTAAAAGACAACCTGAAATTTTTTTAAAAATTTATTATGTTTTATTCTTGATAATTTCCTTGTATTTTTGAACCAAAAACAGCCTGGAAACTACATGTGCGATATTACTGTGAAAATAAATACCCACTAGTCATTTTCAGGAAAACACATAATTTTAAACATACGAAAGAATTACTGTTTCGCAAGATAATTGATGGAAATACATAGAAATTATAAAACACATGCACATTACACTTTGATCTAATATTCAACACAGTCTATATTTGAAATTAATCAATCTCCTTAAAATCAGATCTTTCATTCTCTCCAAAATTCTGATAGTAGCTATACACTAAATTGTGTAGCAACTATGAGAATTTCGGAGCAATCAAAGATCTTATTTTAATCAGACTTGAAATTAATCATATACTGAGTATCTACTTTAGAACTGTATGTGCAAAGTGCCAACATAAAATTCAATTCTAGGCAGCTCTGCATATTGATATATAGAATATCACCTCTTTTCAAGACTTACATGGTGAGCACAATGGGTTTGCAGAGTAAAAATCAGGAAACAACATCCCCTCTGCAGCCATCTGATCCAGGAATGGTGTCTCTTTATTTGGTTCTCCAAACACTCCTAGATCACCCCATCCCATCTAAATACAGATTACATGTATAAATTAAAAATCATGTGCATGTACATCATTCTACACTGTATATAAGAGAAAATTCTATAACTTTTTCCACTTAAAAAAATAAAATTAAATATTGGAAGTAAGATCATTTATCATGTTTTATTCTATGCAAGAACAGGGACCTCAGGGTTCGGCACTAATACTAGATACATGTACTATAATAATACATTATAATACAAATAGTTCTGTTAAGTCCAAGTCGATTAAATTGATGGAAGAATGGTTGAATATTAATTCCAAGGACCCCTGCACAATGGGAAAATATGACAAAATAACTGTTTTGCATATGTACTTTTATGTCTTGAATTCACTCTAGGACTTTAATAAATTATATGTCAGGGATGTTATTTACATTGAACTGTTAGGTCATATATATTCAAATACAATGTATTAAATTATCTGGCGATTTTACACTGTAAGTCAAATATTGTATACAAATGGAAAATATGTGGAACTTACTTCATGTAGTATCAGCATTTGTATAATTAAATAGATAATATAAGACAGAGTCATTATTTTTGTTTTTATACGTGTAAGTTGATGTTGTGCTACATTTGAAATAAGGAAAAAAAACATACATAACAAAGGTAAAATGCAAATGAATAAATGTCAATGTCAATAATGGTTACAGAGGAAACTCTGAGAGTAAAACAATGCTCTTCTATATACTAGTTATGATCAGTATAGATTACAATATTGTGATATATTTAATGCTCAATGTTACATGAAGGAAAACCCTATTATTGACATTATCAACCCTCCAAGTATTAAAATAGCTAAAAGAGTATGTAACTTTCTGAAAAAGTGCTTTGATATTAGAAAAGAAAAACTTCAACATAACTGATATGCTTACTGGAATAATTTTTTTATTGATTTTATGTATGTTATTGTTTGTTGTATTCATGACTATATGCCAATGTATGATGGTGTTGTCAATAAATGAATTGAAAATACACGTATAAATTTCATGCATGACAAATAAAATAATGATATGTTTCTGGGAATTACTCCGTAGATCAGTGGTATATCACCCACTCAGCTTTTGGGAAGTCCCATGCAAGTTTGAGTCCACTTTCCCCAACTATCAAATTGAGTATCGACCTACAACAACAAAACCCACAGGTGGTTTTAAAAGAGTATCTGTGAACCTCATGAAAAAGGGAGGAAGAATGTATCCATATTTAACTGGTACATATACATCAATCTAGAAGCCGAGTAACAAAGCACCTACAAGATTAATCCAAGATTCCCCCGACTCTAAGTCACAATATTAAAACAGGGGATTGGGTTGTAGAAATATCTTGGATTACCACAAGGCAAGACAGAGATCCCAGGTTCGAATCCCAGTGACACTTTTCCCCACCTGTTATTAATAGAATTCACAACATCTTCCTTCATATAATATAAAAAAGCCTTTGCGTTCCATTTCTTTTTAAAAAGAGGAAGAGCTAGGGGTAATTTGTGATCCTCCAACCTATCAGATTACTTGAACTAGTGCTCTAGCCTTTAGATTCGTTCTTCATAAATGTTGGTATCAAACCCTGTATATTTTCCACGGTCTCTCGGAATATATATACATATTATTTTATGCTTCTTTGGCCGCACCGTTCAACCACTAGGCTACAGTAACAGAAGCCGTGCCCGTGGTAGTAAATCTATGGAATGACACATTATCAAACTTACATCATCCATCAGCATTAAAATAAAATTTGGCTTAATGGCATTTATAATGCTGAACTGTACTGTAATTATCGCAAATAAATAAATCATTTTCTGTTTTTGTTTTGGCGTGTCGCGTGATGTTGTTGCCGGCCTTCTTTCACTTTCATTTTAAGAAGCACGTGATCATACGTCACCACTCAGGAACGATGCACTGGAAATGAAGATTGGAGTAAGAATTTCAGAATACATGAAGCAAAGCTGACCATGAATCAACAGTTCTTAGAGACGTATACAGGTTATCATTTCACTTGATTTGTTTGATCTATTGATTTTTGAGATATATAAGTATTGGCTGTTCTATCAATTGTGAAGCGTTTGAGACGGGTGTTCCGCCATTTTGTTCAATCGAAATATTGTTAAACACATCTTGATAAAGATTTCCATTTGATTCGATTATTAAAACTATTAATCTTAAATATGCGTTACTCTATGTCTTTTTGATGGATGATTTACGAGAATCGTTAAATAAAATTGTTGAATTTTGTTTTAAAATGTTGAAACACAATGCATCCCGGAGGGGGTAAAATGGGTGTTGGGAAGGTCAATGGAATGGCTTTTGTTTTGTGGCGGATCTTAGTATTAGGCCTAGGCCTACATGTTTTGTTTTAAGTTTTTTCGATTCATCAACATTTCGAGCTGTTTATTAGAGGAATTATATAATATATTAAAAAAACAATTCTGTCTTCAATGTATTTTAAATTAGTTTAGATTTACACTTCAAACTTAATGTCAGCAATAGCTTGGTTTTACAGATAAAAAAAAATGTCACTCTTCAAAAGTGGCATGGGATGTTAAAGCGTAATTATGTATACTGTCCAACTTGACATATAGTATCATAAATATGTATACACAAATGTCATATGCATCTATTAAATTTAAAATAAATTGTCAGGGACCTACATGTAAATGCACATGGAGATCTATGAAATACATTGTAAATGTCCCCCCCCCCTTTTTTTTGCTTTAATAATTAGAGAACCGAATCTGGACAATATTTAAATTAACTCTCCCCCATTTGTATCATCTTTTCAAAGTATTTTGTATTTTTCTTCTCAATGTGTGTGACGAAGTCATAAAAAATATTGTCATATTGTCAGAAATATATGCCTGTATGCAAATGTGGTAGGAAGCAATTTAATTTCAGTTCGGGGGGGTTACAGAATTTATTGCAAGAAAACAAAATTAAAAAAAAGAAAAAGTAATATATACACTTCCAATTATTAAAGACCGGCAAAATTATCAGGGGGCTACATCCCCTAACCCCCTCTCTCCCCCTTGTATTTTAATTAATTCATAACCATCTGTAACTCCCAATATGAAAGAAGTGTTAATGGGTTCTGTTTCATGGATTTTTCATCAATGTTACATACTAGACAGAGATCAATAATACAATATATACTTTGATCCACTTCATCTGAATGCAAAGACAGATATAAACAATAAAATGTCACCTTTTTTTGACCTCTCTCCTTGCCTCCTCATTATCCCCTTCTTTCTCCTATTTTCTCTTAAACTCTCCTCCTCATAGTGATGAATTGGTATTATAATTCAGATAATACTAATATCTGTAAATAAATGTAAATATTGAACTTAACCCTTTATTTCTTCTTACATAGTGCCAGGAATGGACAACCAGACAGCTGTTGCTGTTCAGTCCCTGATTGATTCACAGGTCATCACTGAGACTACTCCAGGTAAGTCGAGTAGTGTTAATCTAAAGCAAACTAGCATGGTGTGGCATCATGCCCTTTTTCCTGCATCATGCCCTTTTTTCCATGGCAGAAATTCCAGACCATCAAAGAGATATACAAACTTTCCCGACTCAACATCATGCACAAATCTTTGTAAAGCTGATGAAAGATCAATTGAAAGTGGTATTTTGTTGATAGGTATGAGGAGTATCTTACACTTATTTCACCTATTTAAATTAAAAAGAGGAAGGGGGGGGGGGGGGACTTGAAGAGGTTTGGGTGCTAATTAGAATATGTACATGTACCTATCTTTAGTATTTCAAAAGCTATTTTCTTTTTCTTTTTTTTACACTTGTATTTTTTTTTGTACCCTCTGCTCTAATTTAAATTGAATTTTTCTTTACATATTTCAGTTGATGAAGATGATGTTTTCCAATGCGGCAAGTGCAAGAAACAGTTTTGCTCACTGTCGGTCTTTCTAAGCCACAAACAGTCTCGCTGTAATGGCCCTCGCCCCATTTTGCAACAGGTAGTCTCTCGGACCAATCAGAATGCACAAGACATTGTTCTTGCCACCAGTGCTAGGGGGGCTGCCCCTGCCCCAGAAACTGTTACAGTTGGCAGGGCACCACAGATCATTCAGGTTCGCTTGTTGTTTATGGAAGCTAAAAAATATTATTTTATTTCCATTTTCAGTGAAATTCATTTCCAAAATATGTGAGAGCATGGCAATATATAAATCTACAGAAAAGATTATATATGTACATTGATTGAAATGTCGCATAGTGAAATGTATTTATTTATTTATTTTTTTGGTTATATCTTATTTTTTGTATGTGTATTTTCAATATCATTTCCTCTATACATTAATGCACAATATTCATAACATTATTTGATTTTTTTTCATTTAAAAACTGGCTGCTACAATCATGTAAAAGTATACATTACCATGTAACGTCCTGCCTACTTGTAATTTTCGAGCTTGAGTATTTTGCGATTTGGTCCCTCAGATGTAGCACTTGAACTTTTCAGTCAATCACTTACAATGAAGATACATGATTTAAATATTTTTGCAATTTTCAAATTAAGAAAATGTAACGAATGTTAGTAGACATGTACAAATGGAAAAAAAAAACCCAGCAATACAGTACAAGTATATGCTACAAATGGACATGGATGTACATGCATCTACTATCACTCAAACAGTCCAACTACTTGTTAATTAAAAAAAAAAACAACAACTTTAAAGTTGCATAATGAGTCAAAACCATGTGTTTCTTTTAAGAAAATTGTATCACAAAACAAAAGATTTCTGTGAAATATGAATATAGCGAAGTTTTGACAATTCAACTGCACTGTAAAGCAAGAAAAATACTGCATAATATAAGTGCCAGAAAAACAAATGTTGTATCTATCGCTTTGTTTTTATCGTCAATGTCAACAATGTCAAGGTCATGCGTCTTTTATTTTTAGCGTGAAACTTGTAAACAACATTGAATTGGGGCAAGCAGAAGTAAGGAATAAGTTATGATCATCTTTTTTGAAGATTATATCAAAATTCTCAGTCATCCGACATTTATATCTATGGAATTGAAACCATGGTAAATTCTTCAACTTTTCAGCGCATGCGTACAATAAAGAGGAAGAAGTGAAGCAATATTTTTGTGATGGGTTATACAAAGATTTTTTTACTTTTATTTTTCGCCATTAAATTAGATCTTTTAGGTTCTGAAACCTGTAATTTTCTGAAACCTAATATCTTCAAGAACTGAACAAAATTTGCATTTGTCATGCAAAAATTTTACTGTTGTCAATTTTCCCGTCTGTCCGTCACAGTGTCACTTTAAGTTAACATGAATTCTCTTTGATGTTAGGAATGAATAATTTTTCTTGCAGTCCTCTATTCCCTCCTACAATAATGTGACACCAGCTTCAGCCCTTGCTCAGAATGTGGTGTTAACGGATGAATTGATGTCATTTGCTAATATTGATCAATCCCTTGGTAACCAGACATTACAGCTGGTAAGAAGAGAGGGGACGGGTGGGATTATGTTAATTTAAAGAATTATTACTTATTTACTTATATATACATACATCATACTTATTTAAATTTAAATATAAAAATACAAATGCTGGATATCAAAATCTAAAAATTCTCTATTTATGATAAATTGTACATTTAATTTCTAGAACAATATTCATTTTCTATAAAGGCCTCAGGTACAAAATATTTGCACCTGGATGCAAAATAAGATGTAAAAGATGTACTATTTTTGCTTTTAGGGACCCCCTGTTTCCTCAGGAGGATCATATCTGTCTCAGGTGGCATCTTATCCCTCCCAATCCCCTAACAGTGTTACTATCCTGGGTCCTATCAACAGTGCCTCCACACTGCCGACTGGCACCACCACCTATAACTCTGCTACTCATATTCAAATTCAACCTGCCCCTACTCAGCAGGCAACACTAGTCACAAGGGCAGAGAAGAGCATTGCCAACACAATAGTTAAACCTAGTCCCACTAAAGCAGGTAAGAATATATAGAGGATATTCAATGTTTTGTAGATGAATATGGAATTTATTTCACGAGTGGGACAGGATTTTTTGATATTTTCTTGAGTGTGAAGCACAAGTGAAAATATCAAAAAATCCTGTCTCATGAGTGAAATAAATTCCATATTCATCTACAAAACCTTGAATTTTCTGATTATTACATTTTCTTTGATTTTTCCTTTGCCTCTGTCTTTTCTTAACACAAGTGTCATAGCTTGGCTTGACGTCATAGTTGAGCGGTTGCGACATCATCGCTTAGCAGTTGTGAGATTGAAAACATTATATAGCATGGATTTTAGCAACATATTTGGGAAGAAAATTGCAGTTTTAGCTCTCTCAAGATGTTTAGTTACTATCTCTGTCTTATGACAGGCCAGAAATTATTTTTTACTTACTTTGATATACTTTCACACTGTGAGAGAATATCATTTTGGTATTCTTTCACACTGTGAGAGAATATCACTTTTATTCAATAAATAAATCACAGTATTTAACTGTTGAAAATGTAATAAATGAACATTTATTATTATTATTTGATATATATTAAAAAGTTCAGGGTTTTTTTTTGGGGGGGGGGGGGGGGGGGTCTTGCTGATTTGTAGCTATTATTTTATTTTTAGTATATTCAAGTACAAAGCCCTAATTATAAATGTTTTTTTAATTTCCCCAAATTTTAAAATGCTGTTCTTTTTAGCTCACCTGAGCTGAATGTTCAAGTGAGCTTTCCTGATCAAAAAGTGTCTGGCATCCGTCTGTAGTTTGTTGTGTATTATCTGTAGACTTTTCACATTTTTAACTTCTTGTCCAGAACCATTGGGCCAATTTCAACCAAACTTGCCACAAAGTATCCTTTGGTAAAGGGGATTCAAATTTATTAAACTGAAGAGCCACACCCTCTTTTAAGGGGGGACAATTAAGAATTTAAAAAAAAAAAAAAAAAAAAAAAGATGAACTATTTTAAAGATCCGCTTCTCAAGAGCCACTGGGCCAGAAAAGATGAAACTTATGTGAATTAAAGCTTCATTTCATAGTGTCGATTCAAGTTTGTTCAAAATCATGACCCCTGGAGGTAGGGTAAGGCCACAATGGGCGATCAAAGTTTTACATTGGAATATATAAATAAATCATTAAAAAAGAACAGCAAAGCTATGGTCAGTCATATTGATATGGAAGCATCTTCGGGTAGTTTAGATTCAAGTTTATTACAAAGAAGACCCAAGGAGATAAGTTGGGGCCACAATATGTGATTGAATTTTTATTAGGAAATACGTAGGGGAAACCTTATTCCTGCTGCTGAAGAACAGCAGGGCCATAGTGACTCAGATGAGCATTGTGGTCCATTGGCCTTGTTAATTTTAAAATGTCTACCATTTTGATTACTAAATTTTTAGGGAGAAAATCAGCCCAGGCTCAGGCTAACCTAGTCACAGTGGTGACCAGTGGGGCTGAAACCACTGGAGTGAGGATGAGGCGATGTAAAAATGGTGGCTTGATTGTGGAGGGGGAGAAGAAGAAACTCATATGTCAGTACTGCAACAAAGCCTTCACTAAGAACTTTGATCTTCAGCAGCACATTCGTGCACACACAGGAGAAAAACCTTTCCAATGCATTGTTTGTGGCAGAGCCTTTGCTCAAAAGTCGAATGTCAAAAAACACATGAATACACACAAGGTTAAACTTTCTCATATATTGTAATTATTTAATTCATCATTTCAAAACAGAAAGAATTGAAACAGTAATCTAATTGTACTTATCCATGAACATATGTATGTAGATCCATTTTTTCTGACTTGTATTTTGCAGGTTTGGCCTTCAGGAACAGGGAAAACATTACCAGAACAGCCCCCTCTACAGGTGGAAAATGTTACCACTGAACAAGCTGATCAGACCTCCAAGGTCACAGGAAGTGAAAAGGAGCAGGTCAGGGTCAAAAGGATGCTTACTTGCAACTGACATTTTTTTTTGTCTTTAGTTCCTTTAAATTGCAGTAGTACAAGGGAGTGTAGAAGTTGGCTGGTCATAGATCAGATTAATCTGCAGACTTTTAACATATACATGTAAATGGACCATATTTGCTTGCTTAGACAGCTTAAAATCCTTTTCTAAAAAAAAATGTTTTTAATAAGATCAAGAAAAATTCAAGAAGGGGATATGGATCATAAATTTGGATGCCAGTCGTTCATTAATCAGTGTGAAATTTAAGGAGAAAGTTAAATCAAACACCGCATTAACAGATTTTCAAATGAATACATGTACAATAAACTTCTGTGTTACTATAAATTGGAATTCCTGATAAACAGGATCCTAAATATAAACTTGAATTTGTTATCACTTTTATATCATATTTATGACAACATTTTACTTCTCCCTAAATCATGCACTTATTGTACTTTTATGTGTAGCTAGCTAATCCATGTTATTTTTTTTTAGGGGAACAATAATACAACAGAGCCAAAGGAGGACACTAGAACCAAAGTCATGATAGACAACTCCTACGTGTGTCAGTATTGTCCTAGCCGCTTCAAATCTTACTTCCACCTCAAATCCCACATGGTGCAGCATAAAAACCAACAGGTCAGTAAACTGAGTTTTCTATCCCCTTTAATATCCTCATAAAAAAAAAAAAAGAAAAAGAAAAAAAAACATATAAAGAAAAAAAAAACAAAAAACAGAACAACAATCAAATCAAAAAGAACCTTTAATTTCTGTTTGAAGTACATGTATATCGAAGTATACAAGTCATTTTCTTTAGAGTTTGAAATTTGTATTCTACATGTTTGGGAAGTTAATTACATGTATATATGTGCATGTCTCCTGTGTGTTGATAAACAGTTTCTCACAATACAGGTCTTCAAATGCTCCATGGCTAAATGTAACAGAGTGTTTAAAGAATTGGACTTCTTTCTGGAGCACATCAAAGAACATGAATGTGAAATGTCCTATCGCTGCCATACTTGCAGCAAGATGTTTGTATCATTGTATGAACTAGGGCTCCACCAATATACACACAGTTTGTATCCTCACCAGGGACCCAAGACAGGGCCGAGGTAAATGTGGTTAATATTGAGAACTTATCTGTAACATACATTCATTAGAATTTTTTTGTTAGACATTATGAACTTTTGCTGTAATTGTAGAAGTTGTATTAAATGAAATGTTCAATAAAGGAAGTGAATTTTTGTAAGATGTAAGATTTTTATTGGAAAATAGAAAAAGTAAAGAGTCCTGATTCTATATTACTTTAAAATGTAGAGAAGTAAAATATGAAATTGAAACTTTATTTTTTTGGGCAGGCATTTTCAGTGCACTCGTTGTATGAATAAGTACTCCACTCCAGAGGCATTGGAGCACCACATAAACACATCTTCCCATGATCACCCATGCCCTCACTGTAACAAGTCGTTCACCTGCGAGAGATATCTACGTCGTCATCTACCGTCACATGGATCAGAAGGTTTATTGAAATTAAAAGAATATGGCTCACTTTTTAAAGCGATACCAAATAATTTTTTCTCTCTCTCTCCACTTTATACTTGTACTGCCTTTAGTTTAATATAATTTTTGTGAAAGCCATGTTGTTCTTACTTTTTAAATAAGGGAATTGAATTTGTTTGATAAACCTTTACGAAATGAATTCAACAAAATAAAATATTCTTCCATTTGTTTGTAGGTCAATTTCAGTGTCCAACATGTGAAAAGAAATTTAAAGCAGAGCACTACCTGAAAATGCATGCCTTGATTCACACAGGAGAAACTCCATTTTCCTGTGAAATCTGTAACACTGCATTTAACCGTAAGGACAAGCTCAAAAGGCACATGCTCATCCATGAGCCGGCCAAGCGGTACAAGTGTCCTTTTAAAGCAGTAACAGGTAGGACTTCTGGTTGGTTAGGTATTGTACAAATTAGATAAAAATTAGGCTCTCATGACAAAATAATGTTTATGGTTTTAATCATGTGTGTGTGTGTCAATTAATCTAAATTGGATCCATAAATTACTGCCAATATGTGAAAGATTTGCTTTATCTAATACAAGTATTCATGTGAGAAACTTTACATATGTGGATTGAGCGTTCAGTGTCATCATTTTTAAAAAAAATAAAATAAAATATAAAAAATACAAAGAAGGAATATTCACTTTCTTTTTCATCATTTTTAGTGAAATTTATTCACAAAAATATTCTTCTTTTGATCATGCTTGTTAGACATTACAAGAATTCTATTTATTTTAGTATACTTGTATTTTGGTACGTATAATGTGCTATGAACCCACAAAAATAAATTCGTCTTAATAAGCCTAAATGTTTTTTAGGGTGCACTAAGGAATTCAGTAGGACTGATAAACTGAAATCTCACATAGTTACCCACAGTGGTCTTCGTCCTTACAAATGTGGAGAGTGTGGAAGATGCTTCAGCAGAAAGCCACACTTGATTGAGCATGAGAGAGGACACAGAGCAGACTACAAATTCAAATGTCAAATCTGCCAGAGGGGATTTTTCCGACCCAAACTGTTCAAGGAACACAAGTGTATACCAAGTAAAAATGGGGAGGCACCAGCGAGGGTGTATCGACCCAGAAATAAAAGAAAAGTGGGCCGACCCAGAAAGCGTATGATAACCATAGAAGCAGGGAAAGATGGAAATAAGAAGATTGAAGTGGATGAGGAGGGGGAGGTGGAAGTTCAAAATGTAATGGTCATGCAAGCTGAGAGTGAGGAGCCTGTGGAAGAAAGCCAAGCAGAAGTTGTGGAGGAGCCTCCTGTTGAAGAGTCATCCCCAAAAATGGTCAAGGCGGAGGAAGGCAGTAAATCAATGACAAAAATAGAAAAGCCACCATTTTGTGTCAAAGTCACACCTCCAGTTCCTCGATATCTTACCGTCAACATGGCTTCCCAACCCAATAGCATTCTGGGACATGGCATTCAGACACATTTCATTCAGACCTCAACCTCAGGTACAGGTTATCAGAACATTGTGTCCCCCAATACCAGTTACCAACCAGTTACAATTATAGAGGCTCAGTCCATTCCAATACAAGTCACTAATCTGGAGAATGTAGCATTAAGTGACCAACTATCTCTGCAGATGACCTCATTACAGGGAGGTGTTACTGTAAGCGACAGTAATGTTTCTGTGATTGAGAGTGTCCCCATGCAGGTAGTGATGCCTTCAGAGGACCCGGATAGCATGGTGACTACTCATGTTGTTGTTAGCTCCAGTGGACAAGACCAGGGGTATCACACCTCACAGCTGGACGATTTCACAGGGCCAGAGGGAGACCCTGTCTTACAAGGCACTGAAAACCTGTTGAAGGCCCATGCTGAAATACTGCAGTCGGCTCAGTAGCACATATTACTAGCACATATTCTAATAGTTGTTGCATTTTTAATTTATTTTTTACAATACCTCTTTGAACATGATTTATTTATTAAGGTTTTAGTTTTTGTCACAAAAACTATTTATCTCATAAATACATGAATTTATCTAATAAATACATGAAATGTAAATTTAGTCCTCTTCTTGAATTAAAATTGAACAAGCTAATTTAGGAAATTTCAGCCCCCTGTTTCAGGAAAAAAGAAGAGTGTGGAAGACCTGACAAAAAATATGCATGTGGAAAAAGGTTGATCTTGACCTTTCAGGTTTTGGTCTTAAAGTCAACTAAGGTCTGAAAAACTATGTAGGCAATATATATAAATTTCCAGCTTTGATCTTTAACCTATGACCTCAAAATCAATAGTCTGCTTAAAGTCATATGGAGTAAAGGCATACATTTTCATCACAAAATCTCGGAGAAGTAGAGATATAACCAGGAAACCATTTCATGCAATTTATGAATTTCTGACCTTGATCTGATGACTTAAAAATCTTTTTAGTTATTTGAAGTTATAAAATTTCATGGAAGCTTAAGGAAAAACCAAAATGATCATCAATAAACCATTTTTTGCATTGTATGAATTTCTGATCATGACCTTTTGACCTCAAAATAAACAGATTCGTCTTTAGACCTTAGGAGTTTTATAAAATTTTAATGCAAAGCTTAAAGGCTTTTTGAGATACCATTTGGAAATAAGTGTTACACACAGAATATATAAATTTCTGACCTTAACCGACCTAAAAAAAAAATCAGGAATCTTTGTTAGACCATGGGGAGTTTTTATATTACACAATAATTGCTGTTTTTGAGATCAGTAAGATGATTTAGCAACCTGGGGAGTACAGTATTCACCGAGCCCTTGTGAATTTCAATGCGGAAGTCTCTGGTTTTATGCCACAATATTTACATTTCCAATGTCTTTGTCCGAGATAAAATTACAACGTGTAAAAATACTTTATTTCTACATAAATCACGTGATACTGCCGTTGATGCTGCATGGCGTGGTGATGGACAATATAATAAATGCAAAGTGTAGAAAAACAAGATGTGTTTGTGAAACACCGATGCCCCGTATGGGAAACTTACAGCAAAGGTCAAACTTTTTCAAATGCAAATCAAATATATTGGTTTCTAAAGTAAGGTCTTATCTCGAGGAATAAACCTGTGAAATATGAAAGCCCTAGCAGCAACCATTGAATAGATATGGAAAAGGTTGAAGTCTTTTCAAAAGTATGTCAAACATCAAGGTCAAAGTCAAATGGTCAAAATTAATGGTGCCCAAGGAATGCAAGCTCCAGATAGCTCAGTATTACGTTACGCTACAACTCCATATCATTATAGCATTATTCGTAGGGAAAGTAGTCCCAGAGAATTGACACTGTATGGAGTTTGCAAGGAATGGCCTTCTAACAAGAAATACACAGGTGAAATATGAAAGCCGAAGCACCAGTCGTTCAAAAGTTATGACCAAGGTTAAAATTATCCAAAATTAGGTCAAACGCCAAGGTCAAGGTCAAAGTTGTTGGAATCCAAAGAAAGGTCTTGTCACAAGGATTACGTATGTGAAGTACAAAAGCTCTAGGACCAACCATCAAAAGTTATGGCCAAGGTTAAAGTTTTCCAAAAGTAGGTCAAACGCCAAGGTCAAGGTCAAAGTTGTTGGAATCCAAAGAAAGGTCTTGTCACAAGGATTACGTATGTGAAGTACAAAAGCCCTAGGACCAACCATCAAAAGTTATGGCCAAGGTTAAAGTTTTCCAAAAGTAGGTCAAACTCCAAGGTCAAGGTCAAAGGGTCAAAGTTGTCGGTATCCCTAGGAAGGTCTAGTCACAAAAACTACACATATGACATATGAAAGCCCTAGCACCAATTGTTTAAAAGTTATGGCCAAGGTTAAAGTTTTCCAAAAGTAGGTCAAACTCCAAGGTCAGGGTCAAATTGTCAAAGATTTTGGTATCCAAAGGAAGGTCTTGTCACAAGGATTACACATGTGAAGTATGAAAGCCCTAGCACCAATTGTTCAAAAGTTATGGCCAAGGTTAAAGTTTGGTAAAATTTTGCAAAACTGGGTCAAACTCCAAGGTCAAGGTCAAAAGGTCAAATATGGTGGTACCCAAAGAAAGGTCTTGTCTCAAGGAATATGGAAGCCATAGCTCCAACCAATCAAAAGTTATGGGCAAGGTTAAAGTTTTTGCGGACAAACAGACAGACAGCTAGACAGACAAATGGACAGACAGGTCAAAAACTATACCCCCGAATCTTCGATACGGGGGCCTAAAAATATTTACCATTGTGTAATTCGCAGCTGTAGCATATTCAAAACAATTTTTCACTAGTTTTACCAACTTTTCATTTTTCATACATCACTTTAACCTCTGTAATAATTATCCGGAAAATCACAACGATTTGTGTTCATATCTCACACACTCCCATGTTGGGGAGGGCTTATTCCCCGAAGGGCTATTCAACCTATCGCCACTTTTTGAAAATCAGGTAGGAAAAGGTAAGATTTTATGTGGGAATAGGTGGAATTTTTGTGTAAACAAATAATTAATATAAACATATAATTACCGTATAAACAGTAATTATTGAACACCTGTTCGAATAGAGGACAGGTAAATTGGCTTTTTAAAATTTATATACATGTAAATCAGACTTTTACTAATATTTGGAAGAAAGAATTTGAAGTGAATTAAGTCATGTTTTCCCCAATAATCTATTTATTGTATTTTCTAAAATTCAGCTATTTAAATGCATTTTTGCATCAATCTATCTATGTTAAAAAAAAATCAAGATATTAAAGTATTTTTAATCACTTTTTTATTTTCTGAAATATATTAAATTGAAATAAATCATTTTTTCATAAATCTATTTATTTTCTGACTTAAAATGTACAAAATACAGGATGGGATTGAATTAGTCTAATTGCTACAAAAACAAATTAACTAGAATCTAAACATCTATTGTTATTTGCAAGTGGGAATAGGTGGAATTGAGATTTTTAAAAAGTGGGAATAGGTGGAATACACCTCGCCAAAATCAGCATCTAATTATATCACACCCAATTAAGGGGCCCTCTAAGGGGTACAGGTAGACTTACCTGTATGAATAAATTACCTGAATTTGAATGCATATAAACAGAACAATCTATCAAGTCATTTTTAAATTAATATATTCTGTAAAATGTTTTTATGTCCTCGTATCGAAGATTCGGGGGGGGGGGGGGGATATAGTTTTGCCCAGTCCGTCTGTCTGTCTGTTTGTCCGCGAACACTTTAACCTTGCATAACTTTTGATTGGTTGGAGCTATGACTTTCATATTTCACTTGTTTATTCCTTGTGACAAGACCTTTCTTTGGGAACCATCATATTGGACCTTGACCTTGGAGTTTGACCCACTTTTGCAAAATTTTATGAGACTTTAACCTTGGCCATAACTTTTGAACAGTTGGTGCTTGGGCTTTGAAACTTCACATGTGTGATCCTTATGACAAGACCTTCCTTACGATACCAAAAACTTTGACCCTTTGACCTTGACCTTGGAGTTTGACCTTCTTTTGGAAAAAGCTTTAACCTTGGCCATAACTTTTAAAAAGTTGATGTTAGGGCTTTCATACTTCACATCTGTATTCCTTGTGACAAGACTTTCCTTTGGATACCAACAATTGTAATCCATTGACCTTGAACTTGGAGTTTGACCTACTCTTGAAAAACTTTAACTTTGGTCTTAAATTTTAAACGATTGGTGCTTCGGCTTTTATATTTCACCTGTGTACAGTACCAACCAGACCCAACCTGACACCCAAGCAGTCCCAGAAAGCAGTCCCCGGGACTGCTTTGGGACTGCTCTGGGACCGCTGTGGGACTGCTTTGGGACCGCTATGGGACTGCTCTAAAAAGCAGACCCAGCAGTCCCTGGGACTGCTTTGTTCACTCATGCGTGAAGAAGGTTCTGAGTGACATGATAGCTCCGCCCCCTGTGTATTCTGAATTTGCAGGCTCCCTGTTGTTGTTTTGTTTACTTTCAGCAGAGAGGTGTTTAAAATAAAAAAACAAGGATAGTTATAATAGATAGTTAGATAGTAGAGAACGTTATAATTACTAAATGTCTTCTGGGGCTGTAAATTTACAAAATTGTAGTCTAGAGTTAATTTTAAAAATGAAAGTTGTTAAAAAAAGGAGAAGTGAGGAAATGATTTTATCCCTTAAATTAAACTTTGATACAGGTGTTTGAAAAAAATTATCTAGGCCTATTTAATTAATTAATGTTGTCAAATTATGTACTCAAAGTTTGCATTAGCACTAAGACCGCGGAACATTAACTGGCAAAATTGGAAATATGCAGCTTACGTCATTTTTACGAAAGCCTAGAAGGGTCAAATAAGGAAATAAAAAAAAATTAAAAAGTCGTAATTACGAGATAAAAAGTCGTTATTACGACTTAAGAAAGTCGTAATAACGAGATAAAAAGTCGTAATAACGAGATAAAAAGTCGTTATTACGACTTAAGAAAGTTGTAATAACGAGATAAAAAGTCGTAATTACGACTTAAGAAAGTGTTGTAATAACGAGATAAAAAGTCGTTATTACGACTTAAGAAAGTCGTAATAACGAGATAAAAACTCGTTTATTACGACTTTCTTAAGTCGTAATTACGACTTTTGATCTCGTTATTACAACTTTCTTAAGTCGTAATAACGACTTTTTATCTCGTTATTACGACTTTCTTAAGTCGTAATTATGACTTTTTATATCGTAATAACGACTTTTTATCTCGTTATTGCGACTTTCTTAAGTCGTAATAACGACTTTTTATCTCGTAATAACGACTTTTTATCTCGTTATTACGACTTTCTTAAGTCGTAATTACGACTTTTTATCTCGTTATTACGACTTTCTTAAGTCGTAATAACGACTTTTTATCTCGTTATTACGACTTTCTTAAGTCGTAATAACGACTTTTTATCTCGTTATTACGACTTTCTTAAGTCATAATTATGACTTTTTATATCGTAATAACGACTTTTTATCTCGTTATTGCGACTTTCTTAAGTCGTAATAACGACTTTTTATCTCGTAATAACGACTTTTTATCTCGTTATTACGACTTCCTTAAGTCGTAATAACGAC